AAATTAAAGTCTGCAGTGAGTGACTCCCTAAGTCTCTGCATTGTGTCTGTTTTCTCTTTTGGCAGTACAGAGTGCTACAGGCTTCGTAACAATTTATTTCTGAATTGATTTATTATAATTGAGAAGTGATGTTTCACTCTGAACAGCTGTATTAGGATGTTAACAATTTAAGTTTGCATTTATGCTGCCAGGAAGGATGAGCACAAACTGAATTTCAAACTTTTAATGTTCTCTCATTCTGATAGAAGCTGCTGTGTGCTGTTTGTGACTGGTACAGTCCTTCACCCAGAGCTATTTTGTGTGATGATAAAACCATGAGTGTATGAAGCTTGCACATTTTTCATCTCTTTTATGACCTTATCTTTTGTGAGCGGCTTCTGTGAAGGTATCCTAACTATAGGAAGCACCTGGCAAACATATATGATATCTATGCTGTGATAAGCAGTTGTGAACAAGAAAGTAGATCTGTCAGTTCTGAACTGTTCATTGTTAAAAATACTTTGTTGATTTAGCTGATTGCAAAATACATTATAGGGTGACTAGCAGCTGCTGTAACATTCCTAGTCAATAGTTATATTGTACGAGACTTTCTGTAAGAGCCTAATATTGATAGGGACAACATGGATTAAAACAGCAGGCTTGAGAAGAGCTGCTAACCCATGTGCTTCTTTAAAATGTTGCAACTACTTGTGGTACAAGCTGATTAAGTACAAATTGGGAAGTCTTTAATTTGTTAAAAAGATTAAAGTGAAATTACTTGTTAATATTCAAGTCTCTCTTTTCCTAGTTGTCAGCATTGTCAGAGACGTTAGAGTTCTCCTTCACATGTTTCTGGTAATATGTCTCTTTTACAGTCTTCAGATTCCCTGACCAACTGTACCACCTTGAAGTACGGTGGTTTAGAGTATTCATTTGCATCTACTGGATAAACAATAGGATATTAAAAAAACCTTTAACTGTTCTTGAAGAGCAACAGAAACAGTTAATGCTGGTAAGAAAGGTCAAGATGAAAATTCTATTCATATTATGGCATTGAAGTTGTTTGATTAAGACTTTTTTTTCCTTTCAGTTAAGCAGTATTTTGTGTATTCAGCACTTTATCATAAGGCAGAGATTTGTTTCACCTAACTTTAGCTGGCTAAAGATGGGTTCCTAGTCTAAGCTCTATGTTTCAGAGGATGATTCATTTCATCTTGGAAACCAAGAGAGGTCTCGTATCTCAGGCATCCTTGAATAGGATGAGTCACTGTGGAGGTTTCTCTCTTCCCTATCTATTGCAGCAACTACATAAGTAATCTGGACTAGCTTAACTTTCAGGAATTGAAGGTTAGAGGAGATGAATTCTGCCCAAAGTGTAGCTTTAATACCAGATATACAGAAATAACTGAAAGTCCAGTAGGCTTAATTGACTCATGACTAAACATACTATATGATATTATAGATTCTTACTCATATGAGTCTTTTTTTCATGCAATAACATTCTTTTAAAGGGCACAATTCACTTATTGATCTCAGTTGACAGAAGGAGAAACTTAGTAGGTTTTGTTTCATTTTAGAGCATTTATCATTGCTGGTATTTTTATACCCGTCTGGCATTTATGGTAAAAAATTATTACTCCTTTAACTTAAATACAAAATGTAAGTGAGCAGCAAAGTGAAGAAATAAGCATGAAAAAAAAAAAAACCCAAAAGAATGGGATTAGAAAGGAATCAACAGGTTAGTAGCAAAGTGAGTGGTGTATATAATGCAAAATGCACTTGGTTTGACTTGGAAGAAAGAAAAAAATAATGTCCTGGATCCAATTAAATGTCTACACCTGTAAATTGAAGAAAAATGTAATCAGTTTTAAAACAAGTATAAAAAATAGTCTTATTGAGACTGGAGAATAGTCAGTGAATGAACAAAAAGAGAAAACAATGGAAAGAAAATAAATTCTGTAAGGAAATAAACTCCTTTGTGCTAAACAAATGTTAGCTGCTAAAGTAGTATTAAGTAAGGGGAAAGAAAAGAAAAAAGCTTGAGAGATGTGTTTTGTTATCAGCTCTTGTGCTAAGCCTCCTTTTGGCTTCTTAAAGTTGCAGTGTCTCCAGCACCAAATGGATGGAGTTGGTTGTCCATTTGCATCGGACCTTGATGCTCAGCTGAGCCTGGGATAGACTTGCTTCATTGCAAGATTCTGAAGCCCACAGTAATGTACCATTTGTTGGTTTCACAAGCAGATTGCTTCAGTATGGAGGGAGAGTAGTGTGGGGGAACAGGAGAAATCAGTGTTGTGATATTTCAGGTGTGTAATGCATGGGCTTGGTAGTTGGTGAATAATAGAAAATATCAATGAAAATAATTACAAATATTCCTAGATGCAAAACAAAGTTTTCCTTAATGTAAATTCTGCACATTTTGTTCTACTCTATTTGCACAGGACATGCATTAATTCATGAAACTTGATTATGAAAAACACGTAACACCATACTTCATGAAACACTGAAAAAGCAAGTTAATGAAAAGTTAAGCCATCTGCTAACATACATTTTATGATCTTTCCTCATCTCCCAAATACTTAATTACTGTGTGCTGTAAGTCGTATACCTTAGCTGTAATTCTGTCCTTCTTTTGCCCTTCAGCCCAATCTTTTCACATAAGTTTCTCCTCCTCTTTCAATTCTAATGGTTTTGTTTGTTTGATGTTCTGGTTGGTTGCATTGATTGAAAGAATGCTCAAATTTGCATGCTAACGTCAGGTTTGCATATATTACAACCTGGAAAAACTTTTACATTTTGGAGCTAAAATTTTCCATGCTTTGACTCAAGAGAATTCTTATTATTAATACTTTTTTTATTGTTGTTATTCTGATTTTGTCCATAGAGATCTATTGTTTACAGTGGAAGAAAGACATTTTCTTTAGTAGAAAAATGCCATGCAAAGAACATTTTAAGAGCTTTCTGTGGTGATTATACAGCTTGAGTTAGAAACTCACAATCAGAATTGCCTTTCCTCTGAAGTGCTTTCCATGCGGAAAGCTGGAGTTGATCTTTCCAGGTTTGAACCTTGGAAAATTGTCCTTTGTGTCTCTCCAGTAAAGTAGCTATGAAGACAGAAATATGATGGTAAGAATAAATATCTGATATGTTGTTCAGTCCCATCCAAAAAACCCAGAGCTCAATTTGGTTACTATAAAATAACTATACGGGTGCTGATTCAAAATAGGGTAGTTGGTCGAAAACCCAAATAATTGCTAAAGCTACTTATAAGAAACTTTTTCAGTATGCATTTAGGACTGTCTTCTGAAAGATAACTTCAGATTGAACTGAAGCATGTGAATTTCAAATGCCTGGGTAAAATTATACAGTGTGTTTAACAGAAAAATTAGAATAGGTATTAATGATGCCTTTTAGCTTTAAATGTTTATGAATACACTGGACTATATTTTTAGTACTACAAATATACTGAACTATATTTTTGTTATCAGAGTCTGGAGTGAATATAGTATTGTGTTTGTGTGAGAAGTAGTTTACCAGGCACTTATACATAGTATTTGAAAAACTGTTTGTTTTATGAATGCAAGGAAGAATGTGTTATTACAATATGTTACACGTGCACATGAAGTTAATACTTTATAGTGTTTCTATGCAATCATGTACTTGAAAACTCTGGGTCACAATCTTATCTGGTATAAATATAGCTCCAGTGATAACATATGGGGATCTGGCATGGTTTGTTGTAATCACATTTCTTTACCTATGTTGCTAATAAAAGCTCTTGTTATCATGAGTGGGGAAAAAATTACAAGTTACTGCTTAATTGTTGTGCTTTTTGCTCCTTCTTGCTCTCCTATTGACAAATGAACAAAGAGTCTGATTTTCAGATTCTAAAATACATGACGTGTTTTTTAGTGTTGCCACTATTCTGTGGGACACAATTTTTTAAAAAGTTGGCTTCAGGATTGCTAAAAAAAATTAGACCATAATTCAGTCCTATTTGACTGATGTAGTTAATTGTGTAGATTTATTTTTTTTCCCCATTGTTCATAGCGTCTTCATATGCAAGAGTTTCTTGGATTGATTAGTAGTGAAAAAAAAATGCACAATACAAATGCAATAAAGTACTGGCTGGATAAGGCCTTGGAGATGTCATTTAACACATTACTGTGGCCAGAGTATTTTGTGTTAAAACCTGAACCCCTCATCTTCAATGTATTTTTTCATAGTGGCTATTTCATAGTATTCTTGCATAGAGCTTGCCTAGAATCTTTGTGGTAATCTCTAAAAAATAACCATATGATTTTTCTCATGTCCTATGTACAGCCTTGTACTTGATAGTTAGTGAAGACAGACAGACATTCTCAGATACTTCTGGATGGTGAAAATTCTAAAATTAATCATAAATGTTGCATTTCTTTAGATAAAGCCTGATAGGGAGAAAACTATTATAGAGACTTGCTGCTAGGTTATGACCTTTAAGGGCAAATTCCTTAAATGCTGAAATATCACAGAGTAGCCCTCCACTAGTTGCCTGAAAAGCCAGAATGTTTAGTGGATTGTATTTTTGTACTGTGTGTCATTAATCCACAAAGTATGGGAAGCAGTTAGGTGTCAATTCAAGAAAACACAAACTGAAAGCATATGTTCCTGGGGGGTAACAAGCTAATTTCTTTCTGTGATTTGTGCATACAAAATTAATGGCTTTTTGTATGTTGGTTTACAGAATTAGGTGCAAGTTGTGATTCTGTTTTTTAAGCATATGGAGTAAACAATGATTTCCAAGATTTATCTCTCCACAGAACTGGAAGGATCGGCTATTCAGGGCTTGTTTGAATCACTGAGAACTCACAGATGTTTACGTGTCTAATAATTTATTTTTTTATTATTATTTTCTTTCTGTTTATCGCCATGCATGTGTTTTCACTTACAGGTGAAAGCAGTTGTTTGGATATTGTAGGATCTCTGACAAAAAATCACGACTGAAATATGTCAATGCTGTATTTCTTTGATTGTTTTTTCAGGCAATGAAGAAGGCATCCAGGAGGCACCAGAATCAGACGGCGATGCAAGGTCAGAGAAACCAGGACAGCTTGCTGTGGAGACTGAAGACTGGGATGGGCCAGGTAGGAAAGAACAACTGAAAGCCTGGAGAAGTTTCTTAAACTAGATTCCAAGATTTTTTAATATTATTATTTTAGTAGGTGTGTTATGCTTTGCATTGATTTTTAATGGACCATTCCTTTTTGATCCTTTGAAATCCAGGATGTTGATGGATAAGTGCTAAGATAAAGTTCTTGAGTATAAAATGGCTTTGGCTGTACCATTTTGTAGATTGTTCAACATAAAATGCCTTACTTATCTGCTTGATGTAAAGGAAAATGTTGTTCCTGCTTAGAATTTTAGGATTAAAATTTATCCATAAATTCCCAGTTCCGTGGTGGTATTAAGATAGAAGCTTTTCTGCTCTGTTTTCTGAGGCCAGAAGACCAACGACATGCCTGTGTCTCTTCTCAAGCTTTGTGCCTACATTTAGCAACACGTTGAGCTTAACAAATAGGTATGGTATCTACTGACGTTTTCAAGGACTTTGTTCACCTGTTCTAAACTGATAGAAATCATTTAGCAGACCTTGTCATTTATTTCAGGTGAGAAAGAAACTCTTAGATTGCAGTCAATGAAGTGTCAGGGCTTTACATTAAAACAGCAATTTGTGGTAAAATTTTCTATTATACACAGTGAAGATGGTGCAGGTGTAACATTGCTAAGATATAAGATGTGATGGTAGCATGGGAATACTTTCCAAGTATCTGTTCAATATAAATATGTAAAACCTCTGTTGTGCAGTAAAAGTACTTAAGACAAAGGTGTAAATTGTATTTCTCAATTAGGTAATTCTGTAGTTGAATTCAATGCAATGTTTTCATGGGTATGGACTTTAGAATGGGCCTTAAAAATCCATTATATTGACTATATTTTAATAGTGCTGTTAGAAAACGAGAATCTGAAGCCAAACATACTTTCAGAATAGATGAAAGTCTCTTATGGAAATTTTCTTTAAAAGGATGAGAGCATCAGAAAATATTTCCAGAAGCATTCTATCAATAATTTATAATGCAATAATAATATTTCATTAGAAAAATTCCTATATTTCAGTCACATTTTCATCCTTGCTTGATTTTGCAAATTACTGTATGCTCTTCATGAAGAGAAGAACAAAACTAATGGTAATTTTCTGAAACCAGTAGCTGGAAAATATAATGCAAACAAAAATGAAGACATAAGATACCTAATTATTGTGATGTCATTTAAAATGTTTTTAATGATAATACACAAATAAGTTGATATTCTAAATAAAGCACTATGGTGTTATATGAAAACAAGACTTATTATCATAATACACTACAGTACATTTAAAATAATACAAAAAGCATCTTCAGATGTAGCAGAATGACTTTCTCCAACTTCATAGTAGACTTAAAGCTTGTCAAGTGTTAACATATGACTTGTTTTAACTTTCACTGTAAATAAACTCTATCTGAAATCAGTAATTTTTTTGGTTTTAGTGTATTTCAACATAGTTGAATATGCTTTTTGTGGGCTGTTACTATTTTTTATATGAGCTATCTTATATACAGAATTTTCAGAGGTATGTTTTATGACAGTGTGGAGTAAAAGGAGTATTTCTGTTTTGTTGGGAAAAAAAAATCAGTTAAACGGTAAGATGTGTGTAATTCTTGTAATATTTATTGGTAGCTTTGACATGGGATAAGGTGGAAATCAAAGCTGAATATGTGAAAATTTCTTTTTACTTCAGAAAACGGAGGACCACCGACATGAAATAAGCAGCTCTATTTTATTTATATATTGGTTCTTTACAAGGGTATAATATGTATGAAGAAAGGAGCAGATATATACCACATACCATACTCTCCATCCTGCATGCTTTCTGAAATGAATTTGGTTCTTTATTGATATGGAAACAGTCAACAAAACATCATTTTCGAACATGCAGTACAAAGATAACTTCTTTCAGATCTTTGGAAAAAACCAAAACCTGAAATATTTTGCTTATTCAAGAACATATTTTAGCACAGCACAAACAGAACCATTACAAACTTTTCTTCAACAACTTTACCAACTTGTGGTAGAGGTGCGGCCTTAAAGAGCAGATGACCATACATTCTTTGTTATCTGGTCTGTCTCTGGTCTCCTTAATGAGATGTACCTCTCTTAGAATCCAACAATGACTGCGTTCTGCATGATACAAGTTGCTGTCAACTGATAATGTGAACTGTGACAACTCAGGATTTGTATAAATAGTAGAGATGTTCTGTTATTTTAATATTTTTCTTCTTTTTTTAGCACTAAAGGAACATAATGTTATTTTCAGAGGCAATACTTGCCAGGGACTGAAGTTCTGCGAGTTATTCATTAGCAACAACTTACTCATGGATGAGTCAAAATTAAGCTTCTGGCATTAATTAGAGTTTTATTTTGTTTGAAAATTTGCATTGTTAAATGGTTTGCATGCATTCCCAAGCCTTTGTAATTAGAATATTTTTATGAAGAAAAATCTAAAGTTAAATGTGCTGTAGCTTCAAAGGGTTTCTGCCGAAGCAATCTTTCAGCTCACACATTCTTGTGACCTTCACTGACCATCAAGGAATTGCAAAGATAATGCCCGCTCTGTGGAGTCACTTTGAGTGTTACCTGAATGTTTTTTAAGCTGTCCTCAGTTTTCATTGGTTTTGTCCTCATTCTTTAAAAATTCTTTTTAATGAGAAGACTACTCTGAAATAATGGAAACAGAGGTTAGTAGACTGTGTATGGACACACAGTTAAGGACCTGATCCTTTTTCCATTACAGCCAACAGCAAAAGTCCAAGAAATAGAAAAAGTCTGCAAAGCAAGACTGGGTTTAGACAAATTTTATATTAAAAGACTTTTTTTTTTTAATTGTGGTCATTTTACAGCCTTAATTATACCTTTTGCTATCAGATGGATATATATAGATGTAGATGAATATTGTTCTATAGCCTTTGTATTATTGCTAGGATACCAGTGCACGTGAGGCCAGTGAAGGCAGTGAGGACAGTTTTAACACATAATGAATAAAAGGCCGATCTCCTGTGTGTCTTCTACAGACCATCCATCACATAAGAGAAAAAGGATCATTCTGTTTTCTACTAAATATCTGTACTACGTAAGAACAGAAACCTCCTAAATTTCAGAACTGTGAATGAAATATCCTAGAAGTTCCATGAACTTTCCAAAATCTCTGAAAATTTTAGATAGTAGGCCCCTCAAATAAAATATGTCTGAACCCAATATGAGGAAATTATTTCTTATTTGCCATCTTGAGAGATAAAGAAAAATTGTTTACAGAACGAGAAATTAGTGCTTGTTTATCGTCCAGTGGTCGTGCCTGTATGGGTGAGTATAAGTTCAGTCTACTATAGTTGTCATTTTAAGAGACAGCAGATATGAATTGTATCAAAAGAGAAAAAAGATTTGAATGAAAAAGTATGAATCAGAACTTCGAAGTGTTTCACAAAAATTTTTAGATTTTCCAAAAGCTATAATAAAAATAAAGCTAATGTTGGCTTCACCTAGAAGAGACCTTAAAAAACCAGAAAAATCTGAGTTTCAAATGAATGAGGAAAAACTGGGTGTAACCAGATGCTAGGAACAGTAATACCTGGCTTAAAGAAAAAAGTAACTAAAATCTATCAGTAGTTTCATTAATAACAGTAAGATGACATTTTAAAATGTGGTAAGAAAAAATCATTAGAAAATTGGTATTGATCTATTACAAGTCAGGACTCTTGATAGTTACAGGGAATGGGAAAAAGGGTAGAGTAATTTTAAATATTTCTAGTCTGCTTAAATCATATTTGTAGTGAAAAACCTATTTATCTGTAAGTGATGACTGTACTTCTGTTCCATCAACTGATCAGTGTGTTCAACCTGCTAAATCCTAGCTAATGTAAGCAATCTGATAGTTTAAATTTAACTTCTTTAGGAACTAAGTGGCCCACTGTCCTAATCATCAGTCTTTAGTTTTCAAAAAAGTTTTGAGGTGATTTGCAAATTCTAGAGTTGTAGAGGAAACAAATGTGTTCAAAAAAGGGTTGCTTTGGATAATGACAGACCTGTCCATCTGAAAGTGGTCCCATTGGAAATAATGGGATACATGATGTAAGACCCTTTTAATAAAGAGGGATTGCTTAGAATGCCAATCCATATAGGTTTATGGAAAAAATGTATCTTGTAAAACCAACTTAATATATAATGGTGAGCTAAAGTATATTAGTTCTTTGCTGTTGCTGGAATAACTTGACATGTTAGCTGCAGCAAAATTTTAATTTCGGTATAATTAAATTTGAAGTCTTGTGCTTACAAAAAGGTAATAGCATTTTTACTACAGAAAGCAGTTTGTCAGAAAAAATCTTGGGATTCAGTGAGCTAGGGCTGAGCCCAAAAGAGGAAGTTGTGGCTAAAGGATGTGTTTGGGTTCTAAATCTATCTTGCTTGTCTGGTTAGCAGTCTTGTTTGATGCCAAAATGGTTCTGTCTCTGGCATTCACATTTCAAGAATGATGTTAAAATTTGAAACAGGTTTAGAGGAGAGCCACTAGAATGTTGAAAGGTGACTGGTATTACAAAAAAGTCTAGGTCCTTTTCCTATTTATTTTATCAAAGAAAATATTAAAGGACAACCTGATTACAAACTACTTTAAATTCAGAGTGAAAATCTGATAACAATGGGCACCTCTTTCTAGCAAAAGTATCAGAAGATTAAATGGACATTGAAGCCTCACAATTTCAAGCACAAAGAACAGATTTTGGTGCTTAAAAAGTTAATTATTGGAAAATTTTATGAAAAGTCATTTATCTGTCATTAGAATTATTTACATTCAGGATGAGATACTTTCCTAGAGAACATGATCCAGTTCTGTGGCAAACACTGGAGTTTTAAATGGGATAGATTGCACTGGGGCAGAAGTTAAACTGGCTGACCATGATGATTCCTTGTAACTAAAATGGTATGAATAAATTAATATATATTACTTTTAGAAATATTGTACTGTTTGGATGCATTTATAATGAATAATTACTAGCAG